CCACTTAAAAACTGGCAGTAGATAGACACATAAATTTCTCAAAGGAAGACATACAAATTACCAACAGGCCCATGAAAAAAACGCTCCACATCACTAAAAACCAGGAAAATGCAAATCAAATCCACCATGACATAACCCTCATTCTAGGTAGATGGGCTACTCTTCAAAAAGACACAAGATAGCAAAGATGCTGACAAAATGTAGAGAAAAGGGAACGGTTGCACATGTTGGTGGGATTGTAAACTAGTACAGCCATGTGGAAAAGAGTACACAGGTTCCTCAAGAATCTAAGAAAAAAACTTCCATATGACCCAGCCATGCCACTCCTGGTGCATACATTTGCATGCCATGTGTATTGCAGCAGTAGTCACAGTAGCCAAGAAATGGAAGGAAACCGAAGGGTAAAGCCATGGGCAAGAGACAAAGGAAATGTACAAATGCACAGGGGAGCTTGCACCTACTCAGCCATGCAAAGCCGGCCCTCTTGTCACTGGCAACAACATCGCAGGCCCGTGTGGGAAGAGAAATAAACGAAGTGCAGAGAGACAAGATTGCATGATCTCAATCGCAGGTCAAGTCTAAAAAAACATGGACACAATGGTGCTGTCCAGAGTCTGAGGAGAAAAGCGCTGGGGTTGGGTAAGGTTGATTAATGATTAGGAGGTTGTAGCTAGACGGGAGTAAGCAGTTTTGTTGTTCTATTGCACAATATGCCAATTATAGATAATGTGAACGTACTCTATATTTTGCTATGAAAAAGATTGGAAAATAGGACTTTGGATGTTTTCGTTGTAAAGGAAGGTTAAATGTTTGAAGAGATAGATGTATTTTTAGTCTCCAGGCACCGCAACATCAAATAGCACCCCATAAATACTCACAACTTTGATGTCTGAAAACTTCAGGAAAAAAAGTTGCCTTTTCTCTTTAGCTAAAACCACTCTGTAACTTGCAGCACCCAACTGCAATTGAGACCACTTTTGCTTGTGTTTAGAAACTACCACATGCTTCCCCTTGTGTCTCTTTCCTGCCTCTAGCCGCTAATGCTCCCTCTGTAAGATGACATTTTCTCCACACAATGGTAATCAGAGCTCCATCCTGTTCACCGACTCAGCAGCGAGAGTGTGTTTGTTCCAGTGCTGATGGGAGCAAAGGATGAGAAAATAGATGGCTGGCAGAAAGAACAGAGGGCACATTTCCATCCGAGTTACACCCAACCCTCCAAATCAGTGTTGTTTCAGATAATATGTTCCCTAGATTGCAGAGTATGGATGTAGCTTGGCTTCTCATAGATCTTTCTGTGTTTGCGTTTGAGAAATAGTATTCATCCGCCCACCCCTCCTTCCTGTCCCCAGATGTTTGTACCCAGGGGCCATGATGAGAATGATGTCTGCAATGTGGAGGCAGGCAGAGGCATGGGCTGGCACACCAGGGGGCCGGTGGGGTCCATGGCCTGTCCATGCGCTATCACTAAGTCCTCAGTAAAACCTTGTTACGTGCTAAAGGAATTTAAAGAGGTGGCATGGATTCCCTCCCGAGGGATTGCCGCTGGGAGGCCCAACAGACACAGACCGATGGGGAAACAGCCACGAGACAACTCTCTCACCAACTGTTTCCAAACACTGAAAGGAGAAGTTTGATCGCTTTGAGGGAAAAGACTACGGCGTTAGCAGCCTTCTGCGCTGTATGTGTACCCTTCGGGTCACAGCCCACATACATCCTGGCTCCAGAAGCCCTAGAAACGGCTAGCAACAACATCAATCTTCGACCAGCCAATGAGAAAGGACCTGAGACCGATCAACACAGATCCAGTTGTCAGGAAAATCTCCACCTATTCTTCAGCTTGGAGGCGGCATCTTCTCTGCTGGTTAAGAAGTTAATTCCTACGTGCCCCTTTCATTTCATTATTCATGCAACACAAATTGAATGGCTTAGCTGTTTCAATAGAGATTAATTACATTAGGCACGAAGCACATTTCCAGTTCAGCCCATGGTTTCTACTTCATTTAATTCATTATCCCATGTGCAATCCTGCGGCATCCTGAAGATAACGGCTAATTTCAATCCCATATGTCTTCTTCAGTGCTCTCTCCCCTTTCTTTTGGGTGCCTCTATGAAAGAGTCTAGCTAGAACAAAAGGAAAATGCAGTGCATGCTCAGACCAAAGGGGTTTTCTCCTGCAAGCTTTTGTCTTCCTTTATTTTATTGTTGTGTTTTCTGCTTGTCCGGAGGCATCTCCTGACGCTGTTTCTGCTCTAGTGTAGTGGGAAACACCTGCATGGAGAGCGGAGTGATTGGCTGAAGGGCCTGGGCTGGGCTGCCCCGGATGTGGAGGGAGGCCCACTGCTGGCCCGAGTCTGAGAGGAAGACGCTGTGGTTAATTAGGCCTTCAGGTGCCAGGCAGATCTGGTTACCTTGGCATCCCCCAGCAAGAAGACAATTCAGCTGCACATATCTGTGTGCAAGCTTTCCTAAGACTTCTAAAAGGTGGCTGTTACCAAGACACTCAACTCCGCTTCTTTGCAGCTGTGAGCTCAGGGCTGTAGCACTGAGGAACAGCCTCAAGTCTAGACAGCCGGATTTCTTAGGAAAAGGAAGCTAAAATGCCCAACAGCTAGAATGCTCTAAGCAACTGGGAAACTTTTCTCCCCCGGGGTCCAGATTTCAGACTGGGGAGCAAGGAGAGGGAGCTAGAGCCTGTTCTGTGTGCTTACACCTAGAGAGAGATTTGCCTAGGACACAGAGATCCATGGCAACCCACAAGGACCACCTGAGTAGGGAAGCACACATAATGGAAACTTCATTTGTATTCAGTTTCAGTTTAGCCAAGGAAACAAAAAACAAAGAATGGATTCTTTACCTTTGCGTCTCCAAAAAAAAAAAAAAAACACAACTCCTGGGCCTTGTGATTGAGTCCAGAAAGTCTTTCATGTATTTTCATTTCCCAGCTCAATTCCAGTTTACGTCTGAGAAGTTTACCCGGCAATAAGAGTTCAAAGTCAGTACCCCTTGGGGGAGGATAATGAATTTTCTGGAAAATCTCCTTTTGCTGTGGGGGCGGGGAGAGCTCTAAATCAGACAGCAAATATCTCTCAGGAAGGTTTTCGGCACAACTCCCTACCCTTCCCCCACCCTTGCTATTTTGCTTGCAAACGCAAAAGCGCCTGGATTTCTATGCTGAGCGCGGGACTGCGTTTCTGGATTCTTTTTGCAACTTCTGCCAACACATCACAAGAGAAAGGGCAAGATAATAAGGAACCATCTAAAGACAATCAAACCACCATTAGTCCCCGAGTCCTCCCACACACAATAAACATTAGCTGTAGCTACAGTTCACAGATGTTCACAACGGCTGCCTCGCAACAGTGCTCTTCTTGGTAAGGTGATTCCACCAGGGCGGCAGAGAGACAACCGGGTACCAGACACGCCTGCTTTCTGCCAAAAAGGTGCGTCAGCAGGATTGGTCCTGTGTTTTTTTGTCAACACATCACCCTTTACCTGTCCCCCTTGAGTCATTAAAAGTGAAAATACAGGAGAGCCTGACAGAGACCTACACCAGAAATGTGTCCCCGGAGCCTGGAGCCATCTGGAAGAGACACAAATCTGGGTCTGCTGCTGTCAGGGGCGTGGCACCCGCCCTTCCGCCTCATTCCTCCGGCAGCCCTAGTCTCTCCAAACCACGGTTCCTTGGGGGACACGAGTTGCATAACAGCGATGTGGCAGGCACCGGAGACGAATTTTAAATAGTTCATTAGTATAGAAAGCCAGTCAGTAGCAAGTGGTGCCCCTTTCCTTGCAAAATGAGGGAATAATGAGCTCAGGGAGGAAGAGGTTTAAGTCCCAGAAGTGCTGATCACAACTGATCCCTGAGATGCACCCAAGCTGGGGCCTGCTGGGCCCTGAAGCCGTGGAGAAGCATCCACACCCACACAAAGGCCTTGTGCAAAGGCTTCCTCTTGAACCTGACCTGCATGCCGAGAAATGTCTCTGTCTCAGGGCCTTTGCTTAAGGTGACCACTGGCTTCCTTGGAGAGGCATCTTGCTTTGTAAAGAATCAACACGGCCACTTCAAGGTCACAGCCCTCAGCTCTCCGTATCCAGGGACTTCCCGACGGGGCCAGCTCCTTGGGCAGAGGGCTGATTTCTCGGAATGGGATGTGTAGCAGCAGAGGGACAGGTCTGGAGCAGGAATGTGGAATCAACTGTTTTCTGGCCGCCCAACACCTGTCTCTTCCAAGGTCATCCACCTCGGAGTCTTCCGTGGCAGGTAGCAAGGTTAAAAGTGAGCTGGCATTGTTGTGGGGATGGGACCCCCCAGATTATGTTGGGGAGATCGAGAGCCCTGACTAGGCCCGGACTTAGTCTAGCTTCTTGTCTTCTGGGAACGGTGTGGGGACTGTGAGTAGTGGCAGTGAACAGAGAAGGATTTCTTGAAAGGCAAGAGAATACTACACATTCCATTCAGATGTGAATTTGAACAACATCAACAGAGCGCACTGCCCCTACCTAGGCTGGGATCATTACATTGCTAGGGTAGGGTGGGTGGGTGCTTAGGGCAGGGTCTGATTGGAAATCAATGAAGACAAGGCTTGGAGTGAAGCTGCATGTGTGTGTTGATCTCCAAGGTGTCATGGCTTGGCTGCACGATGAGTGGGTATGCTGTCTTCAGCCATACTGAATCAGCATGGAAGACGATGGGATTTGTGTGATACACGTGGCTTGGGTGTGGGTAGTCCTCAGCTCCTTACCCCTAAGGCCTCCCTGGCTTGCCCACGTTAGCACGGGTTGCTCAAACTTCCCAACGTTTTGTCAGAGACTGTTACTAAAAGCAGTGGGTTGGGCATCTTCTGGATTCTGTAAGTCCAGATTTGAAAATACAGTGTTGGATCTCCCACTAGGGAGGAGAAAATACTAGTTCTTTTTCATCTGTGTTGATTTGAGTTTACCGGGGTTGGAAGAGGGGACAAGGGGCAGCATTGTGGCATAGGGAGTAAAGCCATTACCTGTTGCAGTTGATTTCTTCTGTGAATTCGTTCTGAGAGGAGGAGCGTGGTGGGGACAAGAGGCGTGGAGTCACCACACAGACCCCGGGAGTCGGGTGAAAGCAGGCCAGAGGGAGCAGCCCGCAGACTCATTTATTTCAGTTGGTACAACAGCTTAAATAGCCAAGACAGCCAATCCGGTCAAGGGGTGGTTTATGCTCTAACCAATCACATCCTGTTGCCAGGCAGGCTCTGAGGCCACCCAATCACAGCCTGTTGCCAGGCAGGAGCTGTTGCCAGGTGGGTTTCAAAGCCATTCCTGAGTAACTGACGCTCACTTCCCAGTGGCCATCTTGGCATGGCCTTTTCACCTCCTCATTCCACCACAATTACCTGCAATGCTGGTGTCCCATATGGGTACCAGTTTGTGTCCCACTGCTCCACTTCCGATCCAACTCTCTGCTATAGCCTGGGAAAGCAGTGCAGGATGGCCCAAGTGCTTGGGCCCCTGTCACCATTATGGGTGACCCAGAAGAAGCTCTTGGCTCCAGGCTTTACCCTGACCCAGCCCTGGTCATTGCACACACACACTCACACACACACTTACATACACACACAGAGAATATGATATATTGATATATTTTTAAAATATATGATACTTATTTTATATAAATGTTTTTAAAATATGGCTAGATAGGCCAGCGCCATGGCTCAATAGGCTAATCCTCCGCCTGCGGCACTGGCACCCCAGGTTCTAGTCCCGGTCGGGACGCCAGATTCTGTCCCGGTTGCCCCTCTTCCAGGCCAGCTCTCTGCTATGGCCCGGGAGTGCAGTGGAGGATGGCCCAAGTCCTTGAGTCCTACACCTGCGTGGGAAACCAGGAGAAGCACCTGGCTCCTGGCTTCGGATCAGCGTGATGTGCCAGCCACAGTGTGCCAGCCGCGGTGGCCATTGGAGGGTGAACCAACGGCAAAAGGAAGACCTTTCTCTCTGTCTCTCTCTCACTGTTCACTTTGCCTGTCAAAAAAAAAAAATGGCTAGTTAGATTTGAGATTACTTTGTCTTCAATGGAGGAAGCCAATGCTGTTATTATTAGTTAAAATTTTATTTAGGTATTTTCAAAATTTATTTGAAAGGCAGGTGGCAGGGGGAGAGTGAGAACTCCCATCATTGATTCATTCACCAAATGCCCACATCAGCCTGAGCTGAGCTAGACTGAAGCCAGGAGTAGGAAACTAAATCCAGGTCTCCCACAGCGGGGGAGGCTGGGACCCAACTAGCAGAACCATCAGCGTTGATTCCCAGGGTGCACATTAGCAGGAAGGTGGAGTCAGAAGCCGAGCCAGCACTCCAGTAGGGTATGCAAGCATCCCAAGGGGAGTTTTAATCTTTGGTCAAATGCCCACCCCCATTTTGTTTTTAGAATAGAAGGGATTTTAATGGTAGGGAAAAAAAATCTAAGTTTGGTTGGCCCAGTAGCTTTGCTAAACCTTTATCTATGTTATGTGTGTGTGCGTGAATAATTATCCTAATTGTCCTGCAAGTAGATGGAATTTGGAGAAAGGAGAGGTAAAAACATTGCTTTGAGTTCCAGGCAAAATTTCCTTCTAGGCAAGTCTGTCTGAATTTGTTTTAATGTTTATTTGTTTTTATCTAGTTGAAAGGCAAATCAACGGGGGTTGGGGGAGAGATCTTCTATCCTCTGGTTCACTCCCCGAATTTCCACAACAGCTAGGCCTGGGCCAGGCTGAAGCCAGGAGCTAGGAATTCCACTCCATTCAGGTCTCCCATCTGGGTGGCAGGGGCCCAAGTGCCTGGGCCGTCTTCCACTGGCTCCCAGGGTGTTTCGGCAGGAAGCTGGATTGGAAGCAGAGTAGCTGGGACCCAAACTGAGGCTGTAGGCTTCCCAAAGTGGCAGCTTAACCCGCTGCACCACAATGCCCACCCAACAAGCCTTGTAACACATCTCCCACACCCACTTCTGTGCCCCAGCTGTCATTATACCTGGGCTCCATTCCTCAGGACAAGTACGTGTAAGCCAGAGCCCCCTGGGGTGGGAGCTCTGTGAGCACACCTTCTCTCTGATCATTTTTCTCTCTTGACATCAACATGTGTCTCTCTCCTTGTCTTATTCCCTTTAGGCCTTGAACTGGAGTTGCCCTTGGGAGACCTGGAGGAACCTCCTGGCTCCTGGCTTCGGATCAGCACAGCGCCAGCGGTTGCGGCCATCTGGGGAATGAACCAGCGTGTGGAAGACCTCTCTCTCTCTCTCTCTCTCTCTCTCTCTCTGCCTCTCCTCTCTCTGTGTAACTCTGACTTTCAAATAAATAAATCTTTAAAAAAGAATCTATTGCAGCTGGTGCCACGGCTCAATAGGCTAATCCTCTGCCTTGTGGCGCCGGCACACCGGGTTCTAGTCCTGGTCGGGGCGCCGGATTCTGTCCTGGTTGCCCCTCTTCCAGTCCAGCTCTCTGCTGTGGCCAGGGAGTGCAGTGGAGGATGGCCCAAGTGCTTGGGCCCTGCACCCCATGGGAGACCAGGAGAAGCACCTGGCTCTTGCCATCGGATCAGCGCGGTGTGCCGGCCAGAGCGCGCCGGCCGCGGCAGCCATTGGAGGGTGAACCAACGGCAAAGGAAGACCTTTCTCTCCGTCTCTCTCTCTCACTGTCCACTCTGCCTGTCAAAATAAATAAATAAATAAATAAGAATCTATTGCTTGAGTAAGCCTTTGGCACGAGGGTTACAAAGTCCTTGGGCCACCTGCATCCTGTGTCAGAGTGCCCGGTTTAGAAACACACATGCTGAGAAGGCCTTGGGTGATGACTCAAACACTTGAGTCCCTGACACACGTGTGGGAGCTCAGGGCTCCTGGTTTTCCTTGGCCCAGTCCTGGTTATTGTGGGTACTTGGGGAGCAAACCAGCAGATGAAAGATCTCTCTCTCTCTCTTTCAAATAACAATTTTTAAAATCTACCCCTTGTTGAACTTTGGGGAGTGGTGTTGAGCTCAGAACTATATGAAACGTGTATTGATCCACTTCTCCTTTTACTAACGGTGTATCTATCTGTGTGGAGCTGGGTTTGCTTCAACCAAAACAACGTCACACAGCAGATTGAAGGCAGAAGCAAATGTGAGCATCCAGCTGTCTTCTGTTAACACAGGCGCTAAAGAGATTTGTAAAAATGGGAAGTGGTGCCAATTTCTCACTACTTTTGAAAAGAAAAAAGTTGTGATTTTCCCATGAATGTACGTTCACATGTAATGAACCTACATTTGTCGTCTTAAATAAATATATTTTTTAAAATGTCTCCATTTTGATCTCTTCTATGGATTGTTGCCCGAGTCCGTGTGTTTGAAGCTTGGTCCCCAGAGTAGCCACATGGGAGGGGGTGATGTTTTATTTTGTTTTGATAAAAATTGTATTCATTGTATTTGAAAGGCAGAGTTAGAGAGAGAGGAAGAGACAGAGAGCTGTGTCATCTGCTGGTTCACTCCCCAGATGGCTGCCATGGAGCTGAAGCCAGGAGCCAGGAGCTTCCTCCGGGTCTCCCACGTGGTGCAGGGACCTACGCTCTTGGGCCATCCTCCACTGCTTTCCCAGGTGCATTAGCAGGGACTGGATCGGAGGCGGGGCAGCTGGGACATGGCTCATATAGAATGCCGGTGTCACCTATGGTGGCCTAACCCACTGTGCCTCAGCCCTGGCCCCAAGGTGGGATGTGGAAGAGGTGGAGCCTGTGGGAAGCCCCTGCGGGCCCCTCCCTCAGGAGGGTTCGTTCTCGGAAGGGTGAGGGGTGTGCCTGATCTCTGAGCAGTGGTCAGGCCTCACCTCCACAAGGAGGGCCTCCCTGAGCGGCAGGATCTGATGCCAGGCTGTTCGGGCTCTTCTTTGTTAAGTCCGCAGCCTCGGGGACTTCCTGTAGTGATAGAAAGTGGACAAAGAATTTCTCACAGAGTGACTATTGATGGACGGGGCTCCTATCAACGAGAAATTCTTGGGATGTTCAATCATTTTAAAGAGTGTGACGACGTCTCAAGGGCCAGCGTGGTGGCGAGCTGGGTTAAGCTGCCCCTTGCAACAGCAGCATCCCCCATCAGAGCAGGGTTTTGGGTCCCAGCTGCTCCACTTCCGATCCTGCTCCCTGGGAAAGCAGCCAGTGATGGCACAAGTGGTTGGGCCCCTGCCACCCATGTGGGAGAACCCGATGGAGTTCCAGGTCCCTGGCTTTGGCCTGGCCCAGCTCTGGCCATTGAGGCCACCTGGAGAGAAAACCAAAGGAGGGAAGATATCTTTCTTACTCTGTCTCTGTCTCTCTCACTCTGCCTTTCAAATAATTTAAAAAGTTTTACAATTTTTAAAAAGAATAAGGATGTTGATTTTTAAAAAATGAAATCCCAAAACTAAAACATTTGAGACCCACACTTCAAAAGCTTCTAGTCCTTGAGTCTTTTTTTTTTCAGATTTATTTGAAAGTCAGAGTTACAGAGAGAGAGAGAGAGAGAGAGAGAGAGAGAGAGGTCTTTCATCCACTGGTTCATCCCCAGTTGGCTGCAACGGCCAGAGCTGTGCCGATCTGGAGCCAGGGGCCAGGCGCTTCTTCCGGGTCTCCCACGTGGGTGCAGGGGTCCAAGGACTTAGGCCACCTTCCACTGCTTTCCCAGGCCATAGCAGAGAGTTGGATTGTAAGTGGAACAGCTGGGACTCAGACCAGCGCCCATGTGGGATGCCAGCACTGCAGGCAGCAGCTTTACCTGCTATGCCACAGTGCCAGCCCCCAAGTCTTTGAATCCTGACACCCGAAGCACTGGGCCTCAGAGCCGCCCCATTCCTGTGCCAGGAGTTGTCTTTAATCTTGTCTACTTCATTGGAGCAACTCCTTGGAAGAATCTCATTTCCGTCTGTAGGTCTCACTGCAGTTAATGCTGCCTCGGAGTTCTTCAGTCTTGGTTCTATGATGTCTTGAAATTGCTTTGTAAAATTCTATGATTGTGGGGCCAGTACTGTGTTATAGGCTAAGCCTGCACCTGCGGTGCCAGCATCCCCACATGGGTACCGGTTTGAGTCCTGACTGCTCTTCTTCCAATCCAGCTCTCTGTTGTGGCCTGGAAAGCAGTGGAGGATGACTCAAGT